CTTAAACCGCGCGGCTGGCGTCCCTCGACGCCGGGGGCCCGATGCCCGCAGGGCGCAGCGAGACGGCAGCGAGCGGCAGAGGATCCCCGACGCGCGCGCGGGCTGCCGCGATGCCCGCGTCCGCTTCCGGGCGGCCGCGGCGCCTCCCGGTGTCCCGAGACCCTGCAACTGACCTTCACGAAGCTGTCTGCGTCCGGGAAGCCCGGCAGCACCATCTCCCCGTCGGATGTGGCCGCGCTGGTTGCAGACGAGACCTTGGGCTGCTGGGGACTGGGAGGCGCCATTTTTCCCGTCTGCGCGGCCCTTCTCGCGAGACTGTCTCGGGCGTGCGACGGGTGCCCACCGCGCATGTGCACAGGCCGCCGGCTGGGCGCTGGGGGGCGCTGCAGGGAGTCGAGTTGGGCTGTCACCCCTGGGCGTCCCAGCAGGGAACTTACATTCTTTTACCTCATCCTAACGACCTTGTGCTCTAGGGCGGGACTCGGAGGACCCAAGTATCCTCATCGTTTTTTTGAGACGGGATCTTGCCCTGTTGCCCGGGCTGCTCTCGAACTCCTGGGCTCCGTCGATCCTCCTCCCGCCCTCGCCTTCGGCGTAGCTGGGACTACAGCAGGCGGAGCCACCTCGTCCCTGTTATCCTTATATTAAAAGCCTGTTCTGGCCGGGCTCGGCGGCTCAGCCTGTAATCCCGCGCCTTGGGAGGCCGAGGTGAGTGAATTGCCTGAGCCTGCGGGTTCGAGACCCGCCTGGGCAACTGGCGAGACCTCCTCTCTACAATAAATCAAAAAATCAGCCGGGCGTGGTGGCGCGTCCCTGTAATTCCAGCTGCTCGGAAGGCTGAGGCGGAAGGATCCCCGGAGCCCCGCAGGTCGAGGCTGCAGTGGCCGCTCCCGGCCACTGCACTCCAGTCTGGGCGCGAGAGAGTGAGACTCCAACTCAAAAAAAAATTAAATAAAATAATAAAAAATATGCAAATAAGTAAATAAATAAAAGCCTGTTCTACCCAGGCTCTGGTTCCGTGCCCTCTTCCCCCATTTGGTCTTGGCTCCTGAAGCTGCACCTGGTGCAACGCCCACCCTGCCCATTCATCTCTTCCCACTCTACTGGTTCATTCCTAACACACGGACATCTCTCCCAACTGAAAAAGAAAGGACCACTCGCCCCCACATGTCCTTCCCAGTACGGTCACACTTCTCTAGCCCTTCATAGGTATGTTACAGCCTCTTGGGTTCCTACAACCGCAACCCAGAAAATTCAGATGGAGACTGTAGTTTAATAATCCTAATGCAGCTGAGCCAGGAAGAAGGGGAATATTTCTCAAATCCACTTCTCCAAGAATTCAGAGGGTAGGGCTTTTTCTTTTCTTTTCTTTTTTTGAGTCAGAGTCTCACTCTGTGGCCCAGTCTGGTGCGCAGTGGCATGCTCAGGGCCACCGCAGCCTGCACCTGCTGGGCTCCGGTGATTCGCCTCAGCCTTCCAAGTAGCTGGAACTACAGGTGTGCGCCACCACACCTGGCTAATTTTTCTTGATTTATTGTAGAGATGAGGTCTCGCCAAGTTGCCCAGGCTGGTCTCTAACTCCTTGAGCTCAGGCAGTCCTCTCACCTCGGCCTCCCAAAGTGCTGGGATTGTAAGTGTGAGCAGCCGTGCCTGGCCAGAGGCTAGGGTTTTTAAGGGTGATATGGCAGGCAGGGGACTAAGGATTTGGGACTGCTGATTGGTTGAAGATGAAATCAGAGAGATGGAGATTGTCTTTGTGTGTCTAATCAGTTTCTGGGTAGGAGGATCATGGGTCACTGGTGCAGTTGGATCAGATGGTCGACCAGAATGCAGAGTCTGAAAAATACCTCAGCCAGCCTTAGGTTTACGTTATATATGGGTGCAGCTGGGGATATTACAACTCTTATAAATGGTGGATGTGGGAAGGGGAGTCCCTGGTGATCAAAGCTGCTCACACCCTTCAGCAGATTAAACTTCTGGATACCATCAAGGAGGTGGCCATGACCTATATAGCCCATCATTCTCCAAGAGAAAAATAAGTTCACTAACCTTGCAGGCAAACCAGGCACAGTGGCTCATTTCTGTAATCCCAGCACTTTGGGAAGTGGAGGTGAGTGGATTGCCTGAACCCAGAGGTTTGATACCACCCTGGGCAACTTGGCAAGACCTCATCTCTACAATAGATTTTTAAAAAGCCAGGCATGGTGACATGTGCCTCTAGTTCCAGCTACTTGGAAGGCTGAGGCAGAAGGATTACCTCAGCCCAGCAGGTCAAAGCTGCGGTGGCCGTGAGTGTGCCACTGCACTCCAGCTTGGGCGACAGAGTGAGACTCTTAAAAAAAAAAATCTTGCAGCCTGCTAGGGGGCTAGGATGTGCATGAAGAAAGAAAAGGGCACAGAGAAACTTCTTGTTTAGGTATGCTCATGTTCTGACAGAATTCTGGCCCCATTACAAGCCTAACTTTGTGGCCTTTTAATCATTTTCAAAGACAGTTTCTGGAAGACAGTACTTCCCACTGTACTTACCTCCAGTGGCCTCAGAGCTTCTCCAACCAAATGTCCTTCCCTATGGATACCACTGAAACCGCTCTTGTTAACAGTGGGAACTCAACAGATATTTCTATGAGTTCCTGGAAGAGCTCTTGTGAGGGGGGCACCATATAATTAGGCAGCTCAGAGGATGGATTCTCTCTCCTAAGATCAGAGATGACATACCCTTAATACTATTCATCTGGCGTATTAAGTGTTCAATAAATGCTCAGAATAGCCTACTAACAGAATACTTGCTTTTCACCCTTTCTTTCCCATATGTGTACTTTAGGCAGGACAAAGACCTTGTTCATTTTGTTGCTGCTGTTGTTGTTTGCGTCAGAGTCTCACTCTGTTGCCCAGGCTGGAGTGCAGTGGCATTCTCACAGTCACCGCATCCTCGACCTGCTGGGTTCAGGTGATCCTTCCACTTCACCCTTCCAAGTAGCTGGAATCACAGGTGTGCACCACCACTCTCGGCTAATTTTTTGATTTTTCTTGTAGAGACAAGGTTTCACCAAGTTTCCCAGGCTGGTCTCAAACCCTTGGGCTCAGGCAATCCTCTTGCCTCTGCCTCCCAAAGTGCTGGGATTACAGGTGTGAGCCACCACGCCCAGCTGTCCTCATTCATTTTAACAACTAGTATTTCTGAACACTTATTTCATATGGTTCAACCTAATACTGTGTGTCAGACTGTGCTAAGTGTTTTTGCATGAATTTTCTTGTTTTCCAAACAATCTCGCAAAGTAAATCATATTACTACCTACAAGTTCAGATGAGGAAGCAGGAAGCAAGAGTAGAGAAATAAGTAACTTGTTCAAAATTACTTAGGTAGTATGAGATGGAGAATTTTTTTTTTTTTTTAGTCGGAGTCTCACTCTATCACCTAGGCTGGAGTGCAGTGGCACACTCACGGCCACCACAGCCTCCACCTGTTGGACTCAAGTGATCCCTCCGCCTCAGCCTTCCAAGTAGTTGGAACCATAGACGTGCTACCACGCCTGGCTAATTTTTTGATTTATTGTAGAGACTAGGTCTCACCAAGTTGCCCAGGCTGGTCTCAAACCCCTGGGCTCAGGCAATCCTCTTGCCTTTGCCTCCCAAACTCGCACCTGGCTGGAGTTGAGATTTGAAACTCAGTACAACCTGATTCTTGAAAACTATAGTTGATCCTGGTGCGATGGCTCATGTCTGTAATCCCAGTACTTCAGGACACTTAGACAGGAGGATGACTTGAGGCCAGGAGTTTGAGGTTGCAGTGAACTCCACCCAGGGTGACAGAGCAAGACCCTGTCTCTCAAAACAAACAACAACCAGTTGACCCTTGAACAACGTGGGGGTTGGGAGTGCCGACCTGTTGATCAGTTAAAAATTCATGTATAACTTATGACTTCCTCAAAACTTAACTACTAATAGCCTACGGTTGACCAGAAGCCTGATAACATAAGCACATATTTTGTGCATGTTATGTGTTATATACTGTATTCTTTCAATAGAGTAAGCTAGAGAAAATGCTATTAAGCAAATCATAAGATAAATAAACTTGCTCTTCATTAAGTGGAAGTGGATTATCACAAAGATCTTCATTCTCATTGACTTTGCAGTGAGTAAGCTGAAGAGGAGGAAGAGGAGATTGGTCTTGCTGTCTTGGGTGGCAGAGGTGGATGAAATTCTCTGTGTAAGGGAACCCTGGAGATTCAAACCCTGTTGTTCAAGGATTACCTGTACTTCCTACTGCCTCGAGTTTCAGGGCCCAGGCTCTGGGACCCTGGGAAGACAAGGCCGAGGAAAGTCATTGCCCTATGCTTCCTTCACACAGGGCTGCATGGATGTATTTGGGATTGATGACAGGTTCAACTGTTTCTTTTTTTTTTTTTTTTTGAGGTGGAGTCTCATTCTGTCGCTCAGACTGGAGTGCAGTAGCCACTCCCGGCCACCGCAGCCTCGACCTGCGATCCTTCCGCCTCAGCCTTCCAAGTAGTTGGAACTACAGGCGCGCACTACCACGTCCGTCTAATCAACTGTTTCTAAAGGCCTCCATTAGCTCCTCCTGTGTGTTTGGTAATTCCTCTCAACCAAGCCAGAAGGTTTTGCTTAGGTGTAACTTAAAATCTATAGAATTCACCAAAGATCTTGATCCAGACTCTTCTATCCTAAAGAATATATCATTGCCACTGACAGCTTCCCCTTTCCTGAGTCCATTCATACTCATGTCCTTTATCTTTCATGAAAGGTGCCATCACTACAGTAATTATTTCATCCTAACTCTAACCCCAACCCTAATCTGGAAGCAAGAAGGTGGTGGTGGCCATATTTTCTGGAGCAAAATAGGTGGTACTTGGTTTTAAACTGTTATAGAAATTCTAAGATAGGCATGAGACTTTCCAGTTATGAGTGGTAAAACTTTTATTAGTGTCATGATTGAGATTTAAATTCATCTTTTTTTTTTTTTTTTTTTTTTTTGAGACAGTGTCTCACTCTGTTACCCCGGCTGAAGTGCTGTGGCACTCATCATAGTCTCAACCTCCTGGGCTCAAGCAATTCTCCTACCTCAGCCTCCCATGTAGCTTGGACTAGAGGCACATGCCATCGTGTTCATTACATTTTTGTATTTTTTGTACAGACAAGGTCAATGTTGCCCATGCTGATCTTGAACTCCTGGGCTCAAGCAATCCTCCTGCTTTGGTCTCACAAATTGCTGGGATTACAGGTATGAGCCACCACACCTGGCCTCACCTTTGTTGTTGTTGTTTTTTTTTTGAGTCGGAGTCTCTGTTGCCCAGGCTGGTGTGCAGTGGCAT